AGGAAAAAATTACCAACATGAATGCTTTAAATACCTTATATTTTAGCTTTATCAGTCAAAATTCTTTTTTACCCGAAACGCCATTACCATTCAATACGGTAATTTTACCAGAATTTTTATCATCGTATAACCTTATACCTCAATGCAGGAAAGCTGCTGCCATATTATTTATACAGTTAGGAATGATTCATGCCAAAAACAAATACTTATATCTAGCAAAACACATGCATTGTTGAAATTTATGAATTTAATGTTAGGTGGAAGTGATGTATGATTTTTTTTAACTATTTAACAAATACTCTTTAGGTGAATATATTTATTTTTTGACTTCGAAATAAATTTGATTTAAACGAATAATTTAGATAAAATATGCGTGAAAATCTTCAAAAGTAGTAAATAGGAATTTCTTATTGCATACAACAAGAATTCCAAAAAAATAGGAAGTAACTACCAGTCTGTAGTTAATCACAATGAGTAAAGGAGTTAACATATATTATTTCAATATTCACTTTATATTTTGAAATTATCATCAAATTCATTTTGGATTATCTTTGTTAGTAATTACCTATGCTTCAAATTAAAAAATTTTGACTTTAATGCATAATTTCAATATTCTATTAATATTTAAAAAAAAAATAACAGCGTTTTTATCGTGCCAAAAGTGAAAGACATCTTTTTTTTCTAATGTGTTGCAGGCTGAGTTGTACAAAAATATGTATTTTTTTAAAAAAAATAAAATAATGCTTTATTAAGGAATTTTCGTCTCTGGCATGCCATATTTCCACGTTATTTTAATAAATTTTAGCAATTTGGATATTTTTTAAGCAATTTAAAGATCTTTCATCAATATGAATTTTGTTTACAGGAAAATTTTGACAAAATAAATAAATAAAAATAAAAACTCTAGTAAAATGGGTTTTTGCTTAAAAAAAAAATAACAGCTTATAAATTGAGAATTGTCGTATAGTATAGTACTTTTTTATACGAGAAATATGCTTAAAGCTTTGAAGAAAACTTTTTGTAACAAACAGAGCACAAAAGTGCTTTTCAATTCTGAAGTAAATTTTAATGCTGTATACTAAGCGAAAAACGATGTAAAAAAAGTTTTTCTCAGGAAAATCTTTTTATAAAAAAGTTTGGACTTGTATTCTCGATTTGTATAGCTGGATTTTATAAAAGAAGTCTGGTTTTAAAATATTTTAAACTTGTAAAACATGCAAGGCAAACAATCAATTAATACAAGCATTATTCGTTAGAATAAATAAATATCGTTAGCAATATTATAAAGTATATCACAATAAACTGAATTTAACACTTGCATCATGCATATTGAATATTCTCTCTATTTGTACAGTCAGCTTCAAAACTGTTAAGTATTGAGTGATTTTAACCAGCATCAAATATTGGATGTGGCATTCTTACTTTCGAATCATTACTATATGCACATTAGTTAATTATATAATAGATCTAAAATAATTCAAACTTGTAAAACATACTAGGTAAACAGTCAATTAAGACAATAATTTAAGCACTATTCCTTAAATGAACTAAATAGACAGCATTATAAATAGAATAAGCTGAATTTAACACTTGCATTATGCATATTAAATATGCTTTCCATTTGTATAGTCATGAACTCAAAACAGTCAAGTCCCTAGTGAATTTTACCGAACATTAGATGTTGCATTTCAAATATATACTTGCTTTGTTAATTATGTTAAATATGTTTATATCTTTTTGTGTTAACCTTACTACACTGAGAAAATAGTATATTAAAAATTACCAGAATAGGTTCCTGGCTCTATGCTCAGCAATTCTTACCGATGTAATGATTTTGGAGTACGGCACGAAAACTACTTATTCAGTTAAATGTATTTTTCAGTTTTGTATTTCTTCTTAAATGTGTGGTAATAACAACTATAATTTTTCAAACGCAGAATTTTTGGTAAACCGTTATCATATGAACTTAAAATTATTAAATGGATGGATGGTTTACCATATAATTTTGTTTTTACTACCAGAATATAAATTGTTTTTTAAACCATAAATACCGTTACACTGCACTACGGTAATTTTAGAAGAATTGTTTTTCTCTGCATGTTTAGTGACACAAATTGTTTTCGATTGCTCGTAAAATGCCGGAGAAGTTTAAATATTCTTAATCAAAACAATAAAAAAAATCATCTGACTTTAAATTTTATATAAAAGTACTTTCTATATTAAATAAACCTTGAACGATCTAACATTAACATTTATTTTTGTAGATACATAATAAAAACTTCTAATTTTCTATTTAAATTATGATTTACTTGTTGAACAATTGATGTAAAATAATAACTAAATATACATTATTTAATTACTTAAAAGTAATTCAAAACATTCTGTCTACAACCAAATGCTTTCACACGAAGTCTAGATTTGGGCAATGAAATTACACGAAATAAATACAATAAACATAGAATAAACCAGAATAAACTACAATTAACAGATTTGCCTCGGATTATATGAAGTTTCTGATTACTCATGCATTATAAATATGAATGTCTGCTTTCCATTTTAATAGCTATTACATCACCTCTTTCAATACAAACTAAGGAGCTTCCAACGATTTGTAAAGAGAGCCTTAGAAGATAAATGTCTTCTGTGAATTAGTCTCCCGCTTAACGCTGTCTGTATCAAACGGGTATTTACTTGATTCTCTTATCTTAAAATAGACATATGATTTGGAAATTATGTTATGAATTGTGCATAAATGATTTGAAAAGCCAATTAATATGTTAACTGTTATAGAAAAAAGGTTTTGGGAAATTTGGCGATTTATTTTAATTAATTAATAGAATGTTTTTGCCTCTTGTTACTAGGGAGAAAATACACTAAATATTTAAAATAATTATTTTGTAGTATGGGAGAAAATTAAGAATTCGTTTAAGGTTTAATTTTTTTAATGATCAAATATAGAAAAAATGTCAGAAGATTTCTATTATAATTTAATGAAAAAATTTCTAAAATGGTTTTTAAATTATTAAAAATACTCGAGTTAAACATTTGAGACAACATTATTTTTGAATTTCAATGTACTGATTATTGTTTTTTAAATTTGTATTTTTTTAACTTTTATGCTTAATATACATAATTTTTATTTATTCAATGTTTGTCTGACAAATTCTACTGCTTTGTAAAATTAATTTTCTAAAAACAACACGCCAATCACTTACAATTATTTTTAGATTAACTTCTGTGGTATGAAGTGATTTAGGAATGATATTTTGAACAATAACATTATTTCCTGTAATATTCTATAAATATTCTATAATATTCCTGTAATATTCTATTTCCTGTAATATTCTATGTTAATTAATTCATCTAGTTAATAATTCTAACATTTATTTAATAAACAAGTGTAAAATTTATGCACTTACAGAAAACTATCCAAAGCATTTGTCAATAATCAAACTGTAACTCTTTATATAAATAGATTTTAAAGTAAGTTTTTGGATGTAATTACTTTGAGTCCTATTATGTGGTATTTTCATAGGCTATTTTTAACTCCAATTCTTATGACAAATATTGTGCCATTTTCAACTTGTAAAATCTAACGAAACTTTATACCGGGAGAGGCTGGTTAAATATGAATTTGCATGCGGGCTGTTTTTCAAACAATATTTTCTAAATAAACTTTCTCAACTAAAAATTATTGTTATGCAATTTTTTATACTTAATTAAAATTGCACTTTGAAAAAAAAAACTTAGATTTTCATGAACTTTTGAAATGAAGTATAGGGGAAATATGGGGAAATATTTATAAAATAAAACTGAGATCAAAGCATGGAAGTTATTTTTATTCACACAAATCAAAGGTTGAAATGTTTAACTTTTTTTAACATTTAAAAAAAAGTTTATTGTTAACGTGTTCATTTCCTTAAAACATAATTATATTTAAGAGAAAAGCGTTGTAATTAAAGAAAAACATAATTTTAAATTGCTGTTATAAGAAAAAATAATTTATATACTAAATGTTTTAACTTTCTGCCACCATTTCTCAAAGTAATTGGAGTGAGAGAATCTTTAAAATTTCAGTTTTTTCTCTAAAAATGTAATTGTTTCTGCACATCAAGATAAAGCAATGAACATAAAAAGTTAATTAAGTTTTAAGGATGTTAATTTTTAATGAAAAGAATTGTTCTTTAAAAAATAATTATTATGATAAGTCAAAATATTTTTCGCAATTTAGTTGCTTATAAAATTTAATGTAATGAATAATTCATATAGAACATTTTTTGAATTTCAGCGCTAATGAGCGTTTTAATGATTCAATTAGTATATATTTATGCGAGCTTATTTTCTTGCATTTAAAATTGCAATTAAACACTAGTTTAGAATTAAAATAATTAAATCCCTGTTATGAGAAGGAGTAATTTATTTGTTTATCACTTTCTACTACCACTTTTACCAAGAGAATTGAAGTGAATTCAAAAGAATTGAAGTGAGAGGAAATCCTGTTTTCGTAGAAATGAGACTAACTTCAAAAGATTATTTATTTATTTTTATGAAAGAATAATATCGCTTCACATCTTCACAATGAAGCATCTGACATGATAACTTAAATGAATAATAAAAAATTACCTGATATTAAATACGTTAGTCATTAGTAAAATTAAGTCGTTCTTAGAAATAAATAGTGCTTAAGATAACTCAAAATATAATTTTTTCTTTGCAATGTGGTTAATAATGTACTGAATAATTTTTAATAAAAATCTTTTCGCACTAATGAGAATCTTAATGATTCCACATCTTAAAACACGAATTATTTTAAGCTGTAATTAAGCTCGATTGAAATAAATAATTGTTATGATAATTTTTTCGCAAATATTTAAACGCATGAAGATTTTTTAATTTTATAATAAAAACGAAATCAATCTCAATGGATTCATCCCATAAAAACCAGCTATGCTTTTGATATGGCTCTTTATTGGAAACTTTTTATAAAAAGCATTACTCACTAATGTATATGAAGCACATGTATAACTTCCTCCTTTCTGACTCTTCCAACAGCAACAAGTATCCGGCATCGCGACTGCCTGCATCGCATCTGAGTCAAGAACTCCCTTGCTTCCAACAATCCTTTTGCTCTCGGGCCTCTGATTGGTCACCATCCCCCCCTAATCCCCCGCCGTTCCTTTCATTTTAAAAAAGGTTTCTCTAAAACTAGAATTCAAGGAGATGACTTAGTTGAGCTTTCGTTCTTAATTAAATATAATATGAGGGAATTTGTTGCAAAAATAATAAAGTTCAAAACAATTTTCTGAAAATAATCTAATTAAATATCTGCGTGTGGATATTGATTACAATCATGTAGTATATTTTATCTTGTTTGTAATCTCGGCAATTTGTATTCTGATTTGAAGATGCAAGAAAGAATTAAAACAAAATACTATATTTTTTGTGGTTGTACGCGAGTTAACATAAAAATCTTAAATCTGCATCTTGATATCAATTACAATCTAGTAATTATTGCATTTACTCTGTTTTTCACTCCATAACTATTATTCAGTCATTTAAGTAAATTATTTTATATATATATATATAAATATATATATATATAGAAAGAAAAACATTTTAGTTCTATGTAAATTGAAATAAAAAAGGATTGATCAGCATAGTTTTGTTGCGAATGAATCTTGATTCGTTAATATCAATGGTTAAAGTTGTATATTTTTGACTGAACTGTTTTTCTTAAAAATCCATATTGGGGAGAATATCGTGCCTTCGATCAATTTTATTTTTTTATGCACAAAGTAATGATTCAAGAAAAGTAAGAAGTTTATTGGTAAATGTATTAGCTCATTAATATTATTTCTCCTGAGAACAAATTATGATACAGACTTCATATTTTCCTTTTTTTTTAAGTAAAGAAAACAAATTGAAAATAGCATCATGAACACGACATGGTACATTTCTTAGATAACATTTATTGTGAGTTTTTTTCTCTCTAAAATTGTTGAATATAGTTGTTTATACAATTGAAACTTATTTTTAATGTAGTTTGCATAAGCCAAAATAATTATTAGCGTATTTCAAACAATTTATATCTTTAATAAGGACATATAGCTTTTATATATTAAGAGTTCTCAGCTGAATATATTGAGCCTGTGCACATTACTTGGACCGGTCCAAATAGAATACAGTAATAGGTATAAGTTACAGCAAGCATAAACTATTTTTAAGCTTAACATAAATAAATTATTTTTCAATTTAAAAATTGTATTTTATTTGAAAGAGAATTACATCTTGGTACTTACTTAACTTATTTCTATTTTCAAATGTTTATACTATACAGTGTTTTATTTTCTAATTAAATTGATTGAAAAAAATTGCGCAGTGATTGAAAAAATCGGAAAAAGTTCTTTGCCACATGGCCCTACATTATAAAAACTTTATTTTTTAAGTTGTTTCGCAATTTAATTTATGAAGCATTTTAATTAAAATGAGAAAACAAAATAAATGTACTTAGTTAATGATCAAGAAAGTAAAAATAACTTTAAATACAAATTAATAACGCATGGACATTCAATCGAAGCCATTTTATAAGTTAAAAAAATAGATTCTGAACCTGAAAGAAGGTTAATTTCAGTATTCTTTGGCACATGGCCCTACATTATAAAAACTTTATTTTTTAAGTTGTTTCGCAATTTAATTTTTGAAGCATTTTTATTAAAATGAGAAAATAAAATAAATGTACTTAGTTAATGATTAAGAAAGTAAAAATAACTTCAAATACAAATTAATAACGCATGGATATTCAATCGACACCATTTTATAAGTTAAAAAAATAGATTCTGAATCTGAAAGAAGGTTAATTTCAGAAAGTAGAAAGGATTTAGCTGGTTTAAGTAAGCAAAAACCTCAATGACGACACTTTACTCATGTTTTATTATCTCATGCTCTATGTTATTTCATTCTTATTTAAATCAACATAATTAAATTTTTATAATTTTTACACGAATATAATAATCCTGTTTCAAAGTATATTAAAGTAGAGCTTTAAATATATTTTGACAGATGCAATAGAATGTTGTTTTAAGACATCAATAAAAGTTAAGTATCCCATGAAAGTTGTTAAAGAATCTTTTACCAAAGTAAAAAGTTTTACTACTTAATCTTCAGTGAAATAACAAAGATAAAACACTATAAAATTCAACATAGTTTTACTAGTAAAATAAAACCTGGGAGAATTTGGTCAAGTTGTATGAGTTTGCACTAGAGCGTCGTAAATATTAATGAACTAGTTTTAGAATATCGCTCTGTTGAAATGATCAGTACCTTTAAAGTTATATTTAATGTAATGTCTTTACAGGGACACAGTACGTAAAGTACCTAATGCGTTGTACCTTCAAAAGGGATTGTATTTTCTTTATTAAAGGGATAGGGAAAATGGAGGGTAGAAGAAAAAAAATTAATAGCTGTTTTTGTCTTATTCATTAGTTTGATTTATCTCAAATCTATCATTTATTAGTGTTTGGTAATCATTGAGTTCTGTTGTGGGTGAAATTCTTATCTTTGGGGCATTTTGAAAGCATTTTTCTGTCGTTTTAAAGCAATATTTACCGTAATGAGTTTCACAGTGACACAGTGCGTAAACTAGTTAATGCGTTGTCTCAACTAAAGAGATAGGAAAGTAAAGATGGAGCTGAGTTCGTATTTCTATCTTTGGCTCCAATTTTCACGAATTTGACCCGAAACTATCATTTTTGATAATAATTTAGTGCTCTCATGGCTTAAATGTTTATCGTTGAAGTATTTAATATTGTTTTAAAATGTTTTCTGAAAATGACAGTAATGAGCACCGTTTTGCGATATGTTTTATTTATTTATTTATTTATTTTGTCGAATGAGCTACAATTGAGAAACGAATACATTAATATAGTCGATATGTTACCTCTTGTCAGGGATTTCACTTTCCATGCCACAATGTTAGAATTTTCTGTCTGAAATTACGGTAAAATAACCGGTAACAACCTGTCCATCCAATCAACCAATCAACCATCATTTTTATCTTTACGGTTTTGAAACCGTTTGTAACTAATATGGTTAAAAAACTATGAATTCAAAACTATATGGTTTTTTAACTATTTACAATTTCATTATTTAGACACTGGAGCTTAGACTTTACGTTAGGAATGAGCATTGGAGTTAGGTTGTGTTCTTCCAAATGAACCATGGAATGTGGTTTAATTAGTTGTTTATCTGGTTGTTTCACTTATCATTAGAGGTGAAAAAAATAGACCTTTTTGTTATAAGTAGCTTTATGGTGCTGTCTTCTATGCATGAATGAGAGTATCGTATTTTAATTGTCCAGAGCCACAAGTACAGGATACCGGAAACTCTTCATGTGTTGAAAGGAATGGAGGAAATATTGTGGTGTCACCACTGGGATTCGAATCCCCGTTCTGTCAATTATGAGTTTGAGACATTTGCCCTCTAGGCTATAATATGTACCCATCTGCAAGGCTAAATGACTTCATTAGATGGGCCTAGTTGATGAGTTAAAATTTAGTTGTCTAACAGTATTAGGTCAAAACAGGTAATAAACGGTTCTCTCATTTTGAATACCATTGTAATTATGGTTATTTACCAGTTTTTCTTTAATATGGTAAAATAACAACTAAATAAGTTCCTATTTAGCCATTATTTTCGAGAAATTTCTATCAATATAAAGGAATTGGAAAAATGATTGGAAATGGAAAAATTGATCTTTGTTTTCATCATTTTCAGCAATAGTTCTCATAAGGATTGCTTATCTCTGATTTTATTCCAAATAAATTGCATCAGTTTGGCGCGTTTGATGAAGCTCTGCTTTCTACTCAGTAACGCTTATGAGTTCGATTAAGCGAAGTTTCTGTTTAAACTCTTTTCCTTCTTCAAGTGGAATTGTTCTTTTGAAGCGAAAAAAAAATTTATTATACCAAAGTTGCATGCGTAAGAAATTTCATGATATATTTGATACTGTAATATTTTCATAAATATGAAATACGTGTTTTTAAGTCTATAAATGTTTTTTATAGTAACCATAATCATGATAATGGAGCATGAATCCTCCTTAAATATATAACAACAGTATAATTTAGTAGATTTGTCTATAATATCGAAAAACAATAGCTTTTTTCAAAAAAATAAATTAGAACAAAAGTGAAACCTAAGATCTTATTTTCCAATTTTTTTTAATAAAAATCTTAAGGATACCAATCGCACTAGATGAATATACTTTTAAAGAATGGAAATATAGCGACAGAATCGCTTCAAATTAAATAATTTTATGTATTATATTGCTTTTAGTAATGATTGTTTTTATGAATTCCAAGTTACATGCATGAACTTAATATTTTACCTGCAGAATTTATTTATCAGAGATAATAGTAGGAGCGCAACCAAAAATATTTTAATAAAACAATTAATCAAATTATGAGCAGAAAAATTATTTTTTTTAATTGCATAAACTGTAGGATTTGGAGTTAACATTATTTCAATTTCAGCTAGAAATAAATTCCAAAAGAACAATACTTTCATTTGAGGAAAGCATTTTATTTAAGGTGATTTTTTTCTATTTCATTTCATCGCTTCACTAAGTCATTAGAAAGCCATTTATACTCTATAACGACAAAAAGAATAGGTTTAAATCGTGAGTAAAAGAATTTTGAAGCAAATTGATGATTTTTATTTGCAAAAAAATCATCTAAATGTTCTGTGACGATGTGGATTTATTCCATGCTACCGTGTTTCTTAAGGGATTGTTCTTATATATATTTTTTTAATTTTTAATTGATTCGATATGAGAGATATAAGTTTTTAAAATTTTATCAGCTAAAAAATTGTTACTATACATGTTTTGTGAGTTAATTTTTATTCTTACTAATAAGTATGTACAGTCCTTTGCTAAATTATTAGACGAACTATAAGATTCTTTGTAATGTCTTAATTATCAGGTGGTATTATACAGTCTTATTGCTTTTACGCGACCGAAACCGATTTGCACTTGCTTACGTTCGTGTATCAATGAGTTAAATTAGACGATATATTATATAAATATAGAATAATTAATATATCAGGCATTATAATAGTATATTATAATAATTATACTAAAC